CAGCCCAGCAGCTTAAGCGAGGCCTGCATATCTGAGTAAGTTCAAGTAGCCGTGCGTAAGAGAAGTGTTATGAGTGAAACGAAGCTAGTGTTTTGCTGTGAGCGAGTGGAATAGTAGGAGAGATCTGTATCGCCGACCGAACCGCCGGAGTTCACAGACCCAAATCCTGGCGTTTCCGAACCGTTCCACTGAAACTAGCGTGTTTTAGCACAACACTCTCCCAGCCGGAGTGCGTTGAACCAGCACTCAGCCGGTGTGCCTTGCTAAAGCGAACCAGCATAGAATCATAAAATAAGTGACGTGTAAATTTACCAGCTTATATTCAAGAAAATATACTTTACGGTATAAACCAAATCACAAGTGACTAATTCTTCAACAAATAAATTTGTTGGCACGAATCCACTGTCAGCTGAAACTAGCCCAGCTTAGACTCGGGATAAACCGAAGGTTCGTTACACGCTTAATTCACATTTTCAATGGGTTCAGGGTATAAAAAGATTAAACTGAACAAAAGTTAAACTGAACAATGAAAACAAATTTAATCAAATGCATATCTCTTTAGGCTTAAATTAAATCTTGGTCAGGTCCTGGACCTGAATCCGCTAAATTTTACAAAACATCAGGGCATATCACTTATCAGAGTAAAGTGTCCTCATAAATGGTCCCTTCTTTGTTTTTCTTTAATCACTGACCAAAGAACACATAGATGAGACATGAAGAACAAACTTTTTCACCACCGAAAAAATGTGCATTAGGGACTACTCACCTTCGTAGTTGCTCGGCTCCGTCTCTTAAGGCTCGAGCAGTGAAAATACAACACTACAAAGTCAGTTCGTTGCGAGCGCTCAAACGAAATGGTCCCATTCTTATATGAAGCAAGGCTATGCGCTATTTGTCCTACTCTCTCTCTCACTCTATCTCTCTCTTTGGTCTCTCAAATCACCGAACTCAGCAGCGCACAAAAATTGAATTTTTTTCGCGATGATCCCAGCTCTTTCCCTTTGAAGTGAAGGGTATACCTAATCATAAAAGCGTTTGTCACGCACATGCAAACAAACTGTAAGCGTTTGTATGGTTATTCGTGAGAAGGGTATGAAAGCGTTGATACTCATGGAAATGCTTTCGCGACGAGTGTGCACACAGACACACACACTTGCAGTCTCTGGAAACATGAGCATTAGTGACCTGTGTGCGTAACTCTTGCTGCTTGTAGTAATTTTAAAGCCCAGCATTTGCATTTGGTCGATTTTTTGCTCACAAACATACATACATACATGTATATACATATGTATATGTATATACATTTGCATATGGGTATGTATGTATGGAATGGGAAGATAATTGTCTCTCGATTGAATAGTTTGTAAATTATGTATGGTTTGCATTGTAAAGTGACTGTCAAATGGGCCTTTATGACTTAATATGACATGTGTATTTCATGTCCCATTTGAAGTATATATATTTATAGTCTGCAACCCGAAATATTCCAAAGCATATACATACATATGTTCATATGCAATTTTTAAAATAAGCATATGTTTATACATATAGAGGTCAAGATGACATAAAAATCATGCAAGTAAAAAACAAATATCAAAAGTATTAGAAAGTGCACTTGTCACTTTAGTTAGCTAATTAAATATTTCTATGTATGTACATAAATGCGATTCTGCAATTCGTATTTCGAACTCTAAATCGTTCACACAATTTTAGATTGAGGTAGGTCCACGCCAATGCTCATATCCCATGCATACACACAAAGACATATGTACACATACGCACATGTAAAGGACAGAGGCATACAAATGCTTCTACAAGTGATATCCCATAATTGTGAGCATCGCATCTCATGCATACACACAATCAAATGTACATATGTATATACATGTATGTCTATATGTTTGTGAGCAAAAAATCGACCAAATGCAAATGCTGGGCTTTAAAATTACTACAAGCAGCAAGAGTTACGCACACAGGCCACTAATGCTCATGTTTCCAGAGACTGCAAGTGTGTGTGTCTGTGTGCACACTCGTCGCGAAAGCATTTCCATGAGTATCAACGCTTTCATACCCTTCTCACGAATAACCATACAAACGCTTACATTTTGTTTGCATGAGCGTGACAAACGCTTTTATGATTAGGTATACCCTTCACTTCAAAGGGAAAGAGCTGGGATCATCGCGAACAAAATTCAATTTTTGTGCGCTGCTGAGTTCGGTGATTTGAGAGACCAAAGAGAGAGATAGAGTGAGAGAGAGAGTAGGACAAATAGCGCATAGCCTTGCTTCATATAAGAATGGAACCATTTCGTTTGAGCGCTCGCAACGAACAAACTTTGTAGTGTTGTATTTTCACTGCTCGAGCCTTAAGAGACGGAGCCGAGCAACTACGAAGGTGAGTAGTCCCTAATGCACATTTTTTCGGTGGTGAAAAAGTTTGTTCTACATGTCTCATCTATGTGTTCTTTGGTCAGTGCTTTAGCTAAATTTTACGTCTAGAAGTAGTCTATTATATTTAATTATGGGCTTAAAGGAGTAATAATAATATCCTTAATAAAGCTAAGTATCACCGGAGCTATCATGACAAAGACATTATCTAGCTACTAGAATTATTTTCCAATATGACTATCGTCTGAAAGAATGGCATCATCATTTAGGATACTCAAATATTGAACTTATTTTATTACGTCAGTGATAGGAATGAAATATAGCCCATTGAATACAACATATCCTTAGTGCATGACAAAGCCTCTGGCATTTTTCTCTGCGAGCCATTGCAATCCTTACTAAAGACGCCGTTTTAACCTTGGTAGGACTTGATGAGCGACACGTCTTTGCTCCTATTTGTCCCAAAATTTATTTTATTTCAACGTCAACACAGTCCTTTCACAAATTATGTTCTTGGCCGTCAAATTAAAAAAAAAATTGCAGCATTTTGAGGCCTTAGAAAAATATTTCTTCAATATCCCGTAAAAGGATTCTGCCTGCAATGCACTATGGGGAATTTTGCCGCTTTTCGGGTATTTAGTCATTTTTGCGAAGTATGAAAATTTATAATTTTTTTATGTTAACATCTTAATAAAACTCCAGACTTTAAGGTACTGTACCCAACATGTTGAATAACAGTCCACTGTTAAGCCTAACTAACTAACTAACTAAGCCTCAGCTTACAATTTGTGGTAGCCGATTTTCAAATCATCGTTATTCAATGACCAGACATTATTTTTGAGAAATTTTAAAAGGATATGAATTTTTAGGGCTGCTACTATGCGTTGGCTTAAATAACATTTGATGTTTGAGCTTATTTTATTCATTTATTGTAAAATTAGCAAGTGTTGCTAATGACATTTCTTGTAAATAAAATTAAACTTTGCAAAGACATATAAAACAGCCATAAGGGCGCATAAGTATAATTCCAATTGCATGTTATAGAGTAATTAATTGGGATCTCAATGCCTTTGTCTCAATGTGCACTTTTGCGCACAACCGGCGCAAATCAATTTTTAGCAGGTGACTGAGCTGACCTGTGTGATATTTGGCTCAATGAAAAAGACAACTCTAACCAAGAAATAGTAATTGTGATTTCTTTTTAAGGCGAAACTAAATAAGACTAATATTGATTGAACTTATTAATGATATTAAAAAAGCAAAAGACGCTTTTTTGCCAAAATATAAATGCCAAATGGAAGAAATGCAGCAGGAACAAAAACTAGCTGACAACTATGAATGACTGCCTATGACAGCAAATGTTTATAAAATAATTGTTCATTTGAGGCAGATTATGGAAAATACTGTTCATCCTGTAGGCATTTTTGGCAAGGAAGCGTCTGATTTGCCCAACCAGGTCTATAAATCAGACTAATTTTATCATGCATGGAAGGATAGCAGAATCCATAATTTCACTGATGGTTTTTAGCAATGGATACATCTGATCAGATTATTTCTTCGGCAAATCTTAAGAAACGAGTTGGAAAGCATAAAGGTCGCTGTCTAATGAAGTTGTAGGTCTTGTATTATGTAAAGTTGAAGGCACAATTAAATCAGTTGAAGAACCCGAATTTTTTCAGCGGATCAATATTTCTGGCTGATCTAGAACTCGAAACTGAAGAAACCTAATTTCGATTTTATGAAAGTTCGATTGTTTTCAATTAAAATTATTATTTTAAAGTATAAACAAGCAAAATTCTTTGAAAAAAATTTTTTTAATTTGTTTAATTAATTTTTTTTTTAATAATACAAAAACCGGATCAAAAAAACTGGCTTAGTTTTCAAGTTATTAATTAATACCCGATAATTTGGATTTTTCCCCATAAGGCAATGGTCATATGTTATGCTTGGCTGCTGAAGATTTATGGGTCATTATGCTTTTAAAACATATTAATTTGATAGATGAGAGTTTGGCGACAATTGAAATTCATTTGCAATGCGTTTTATAGCCGTGCTGGGGTTAAACCTTGCGCCATTGAAGGTCTGGAATATATGCTCAAATTTTCTTAGATTTTTATAACTTTTATTATATATTGATTTTTTTTCACCAATAATACCAATTCAATTTTTAATACCAAAATTATTTGGTTGTCAACTGCTCAAAAGTGAATAGACAACTAAAAAAAGCTTTTGTCAAATTACTTATGGTATTAATTAATTTTCTTAGCTTAGATCCAAATTTTCGCTATTTAATTTATCGGTACTATGAAATGCCAATTTCAATATTCACAAAACGATTGTGTCAAAATATGTATATTTTATAGAATAACCTTTATTTTCTTCCAACCTTTTCTACATACCTTGGGCATTAATTATTAGAGTAAGTGAAGTAGAATGTACATATAGCTCACAGGCTTCAGACAATACTGGGTGTGTACATACATATGTATGTATGTATATTCAAGTCTATCAGAATTAAAAGCCAAATGTTAATAATACATTTCTGTGTAATCGTTCATTTTATGTTTGTACATAACATTTTAAGTTATACTAACCAATTTTTAATTTTATAGAAAATGGTCTACAAAAGATGATTCCAACCTATACATGATCTTCGATTATGTTTGTGGAGGCGAGCTGTTCACATATCTGCGAAATGCGGGGAAGTTTTCTAGCCAAACTTGTAAGAAAAATATTCGTTCAGAGTTAAATAAATTATTAATTTTTAATTTCAGCTAACTTTTTTGCAGCAGAAATTGTAAGCGCTCTTGAATATCTACACTCACTACAAATTATATATCGAGACTTGAAACCAGAAAATCTGTTAATAAATAGGGATGGTCATATAAAGATAACCGATTTTGGATTTGCTAAGAAACTCCGTGATCGGACGTGGACATTATGCGGCACACCCGAGTATATAGCACCAGAAATAATACAATCTAAAGGCCATAATAAGGCAGTCGACTGGTGGGCGTTAGGTATGATACTGTTTACACGGATTCACAATATTATATTCTTATAAATCTGTTTATAGGCGTATTGATTTATGAAATGCTTGTGGGCTATCCGCCTTTTTATGATGAGCAGCCATTTGGAATCTATGAAAAAATATTAAGCGGCAAAATTGAATGGGAGCGCCATATGGATCCCATTGCTAAAGATTTAATAAAAAAGTTATTGGTGAATGATAGAACAAAGAGGCTGGGGAATATGAAGGTAAGGTTTGATATTATTTTATATTATTATTATACTCGAAAGTGAAATGAGTATATTGGTTTTGTGCAATGTCCGTCTTGCTGTCCGTCCGTCTGTGCGTCTGTCCGTATGAACGCAGTTTATTTCGGCACTGTTGAAGCTAGAGACTCGAAATTTGGGACGCATACTCTTGTATATTTCCGATCTGCAAAGTGTTAAAATTTTCCGGATCCGCCCACTAGGGGCGAGGCAAAATGCATTTTCCGATATACCAGAGATCATATTAGTTGAAAAGCTAGAAAGCTGGAATGTAGATCCGCGTATATCTACGCTCACTAGGAGCGTGGCAAATCGGATGAAGATATAGTGATTTTTCAAATTCCGCTATATTTTTGGCAGTATTGTTGCCAGAGACCTGAAATATATATACTCGGGCTGATCACCAAAGACCAAAGAGCTAATGCGGATATATGTTCGACCATAGGGGGCGTGGCAACCCGCAAAGGCTTAAATCTCCGAAACTATAAGAGCTGAAAGCTTCAAATTAGGATAGTTAAGCTACTAGTAACCTTCTCTATCGATGAGCCAAAAGTAGTTGTTATGCCTTTTTAGGGGCGTGACAAATCGAAAAATACCATGTAATTTTCATATTTTTTGAGCGTAAGTATCCAGCGAAAGCAAGCATTTAGGTTACCGTTACCTCGTTCTAAGAAGGTGTCTACACACAGTAGAACGTGGCAAATCGGGAAAAACTACATTTTCTACAGTATTAGAGCTGAACTTAACTACCAAATTGCTGATGGGATGTGAATGAGTATCCCGCAGTCGGTAACGTCCGACTGCAACGTTCTTACTTGTATACTATGATGGATTTGTTAAAAAGAATGTTAAATACAAAAGAAGGCGTGATTGAATCCATAAAGTATATACATATATTCATGATCACAAGAACGAGCTCATTGGATTTAGCACTGTCTATATGTCCGTATTTTTAACTTCATATACAACTTTACAGCTAATCCGAATTTATTTATCTCAGAAGATACAAGAAGATATTGTATTTTACTTTTTCGATTACTTATCCCATATCTTTTTATTGTGAATAATCATTAATTATTAATTTTATATTTATTAAATCCTCAGAATGGAGCTGATGACGTTAAGAGGCATCGCTGGTTCAAGAACATTAATTGGAATGATGTATATAATAAAAAACTAAAGGTAAGTTTTTCATTGTATAACAAAGGTTCACAGCAAAAATAAATATTTATAAATACATATAATTTTAAATAGCTTTAATAGTCACTGCAAACAATGTTACCAATAAGCCTCAATAAATAATTTTTTATAAGTCTTTCATTGTAAAAGGATTTATTTATTTGATATAAATTGAATAATTAATTGTTTTTGTATTGCAGCCCCCAATTTTACCTGATGTACATCATGATGGGGATACAAAGAATTTTGATGATTATTCCGAAATGGATTGGAAGCCTACTATTGCAATAGACCAAAAAGATTTTAAATTATTTAATGATTTCTAAAAATAATAATAAACTTCTACAAAGGAATTTAAGAACAAATACAACAAATTATAATTTATGAAGTAAATATTATTAGTGGCAATGCCAGAGTTGAAGATAATACCGACCTGTTTTCAAATATACGGCAGAAGTATAGGCATATTATATTTATCGAAGTACTCAACTAGGAGATCATCTGAACGCCGAATGATCTGGGCTGTCTGTCCTTCCGTCTGTCCATATGAGCCCCAATATCTCAGAATATATAACAGAATTTGAAATGCATATGAATATCAACATATTGATATTGGAGCTCGCATGTAGAGTACTGGTGAAAAGTTGGCTTTATACTGCGAAAGCAAGACTCGCTGGGCAAGTGATGGTATATGTAAATTCTGAAGAGCCAGTAAAACCTAAGAACAAGTGTGAAGTGATCGTACGGATTGAAAGGACAAACCCGTTTAGCTGTTCACTAAGAAGGTTATCATATACTGAAAAAAGAGGCGAAATAATTTATACTGGTTCCCCAATATGAACAAGTAAGAAGGCTCTAGTCGAGACTGCTCGGCTAGGAGATACCCTAAAGCCGCCAAGCTGATATTCTACGCATTCTGCACTTCTTTTATGCACACATGCATTAACACCCATCCACACGCATGAATAATCGAATAATCGGCTCTGCTGGCTGCGGAGTAAGCAGTAAGCAGCGAATGCGCATGGGCTGCACTGCGGTTGGGCAATATTATGAGAATTCGATTGTTGAATAGTTTCTTTTGTAGAGCGTGATTATATGATTAGAATCACAAGTCTCTAGTAATGGAAATACGTTTTTTACAAATTGATAACGATGGAGCGTGGTATTCAAAATCTGTAAATTAAAAATAAAAAATCTTTGTATCCATTAACTTTATATACAACGCAAATTTTAAGTCTCCAGGTCTAAAAGTGTTCAAATTATGCTGAAAAAACAAAGTCGATTTTTCGATTATTCTCAATAAAAAAGTTATCGGATGGGTTGTCGAAAAAATAAGATAAACTTATACTGCATGCCAAGTAGATAATTTTATATCAATGATCGTGGGTTTGCCTATCAGAATGATTCTTTTTTTTATACCCCGAACCCATTTTCAATGGGAAATCAGGGTAAAATGGATTTGTTGAAATGTATGTAACAGGCAGAAGGAGGCGTGGCAGACCCCACAAAGTATATCTATTCTTGATCAGGACGACGAGCTGAGTTGATTTGACCCTGTCCGTCTGTCCGTATGGATGAACGCGTCGATTTCAGAAGATTTAAGAGCTAGAGACTTCACTTTTTTTTTTTAAATGTCCGTAATTACAGCGCGCATATCAAGTTTATCATTAAATTATATGCAATTTCGGTTTTTGTTAAAATTTATCCACCCCTCACTTTTGTAAAAAGCGTATTTCAAATACTAGAGACTTGTGCTTTGGCAAATACATGCATATCCATGTTGTAATCATAATTTCAAAGTTTCATGAAGATCGTATGTCCACAAAGAAAGTTATTAAACAATTGAGTTTTCATCCTAAGCGCACACTGCAGCCCATGCGTAGGTGCTTGTGTGTGTATATGTTTGTGTATGTGTGTGTGTTTGTATTTGTGTGTGTATGCGTGTGTGTGTATGTATGCCTGTGTGTGCGTGCGTGTGTGTGCGTGTTTCTTGTGTAAGCTGAAAGACGCGAAAAATTATTGAAATAGCTATTGCTCCAAGGTTGCAGGGGATTTCGTAGTCGAGCAGTCTTGACTATAGCTTTCTTACTTGTTTTTAATTGTAGTACTTGATTAATCCCAGTGGGCAAATTGGAATGCGATTTTCGATCCCTTGCACCTGCACATATACAGGTGAAATTTACCTTTTTAATAAGAAGCATATGTACATACATATACTAGTGGGCATCTGTTAGATGTCATAAATATCATGCAATTAAAAAATACATATAAAAGTAATGGGAAGTGCACTTGCTACTTTTGTTAGTCAGCTACTTAACTATAAACGCGATTCTCCAATTAAAACCCAAAATCGTTCACACCATTCTAAGTTGAGGGAGGCATACGCCAATATTCATGTCCCATGCATACAAACAAACACATACAGACACGCACATGTAAAGGCACACAGGCATACACATGCTTCTACAAGTGATATCCCATAATTGTGAGCATCGCATCCCATGCGTACACACAATCAAATGTGTATACATACATACATACATATGTATGTGAGCACTTCACAAGATCGACCAAATGCAAATGCTGGGATTTAAAATTGCTACAGGCAGCAAGAGCTTCGCACACAGGCATACAAATGCTCATAGTACATGTAGCAAGGGAGAGTGTGCGTGCTTGCTCGTCGCGAAAACTTTTTCATTATGCGCACCAACGCTTTCATACCCTTCCCACAAATAATAACGGAAACGCATGGCAAACGGCTTGAAGAGTTCGGAATACTCTTCACTCAGAAGGGAAGACATGGGTTCTTGCTGCGACGAAATGCTGCTTGTGCAAAACGCTTTGCACTACTTGTTCGGTCTATGTGATTAGTGCTAGACATCTATAACAAATTTATTCCACGCCGAAAAATGTGTCTCGTAGGTATTTTTTGGCTCGGGTAATGAAAGAGTGAGAGTTAGCAGACGTGTTTACTTTGTGCTCTTTAAATTTGCTCGTTTTTATCAATTTAAATAATTGTATTAAATTTGCACATAATTGGGGTCGGTTGATATTTGCAAATATCTAGATATTCCTGTGAAAGGTTTGATCCGTGGTTGCTGTGCTTTTAATAATTGATTTTTTAATTTGTGAAGTTTTGGTGCAGCGTCGGATTAGTATTTACATTATTTGCATTTTGCTTTTCTGTTTCTCTTTTTTGGCGCTCTTCCCATTTCTTTGTGCTGTGCAAGTATACTCTCTCGCTGTGTACTTTCGTTCCGCTCTGTAACGGCTGTTTGTTGTTGGACTCGCTCTTTCAACATATTAATATCTCTCTTTGTCTTTATATTTCTGTTTTTATTCTGTAATTTGGCGTAATCTCAATTTGGCAATATGAGTTGCTGCAAAAAATCTTGCACTTTCAGGCAGGCAGTTGACTCTGCACAAATATTAAATCAGTATAGCTTTGAAAGTCTCTCTCAATTGGAGACTCCTTCGTTATTGGTAACTCCTTCCGGAATAAGAAGGTCATCTAATTCGCTTGCCCCTCCCTCACCTTGTGCTTCTGTATTGTCAGCGGCTCCTAATTCACTCGATCCTACATCACCAGGTCCCCAATCTATTGTTTCTCCTATTGATGCTGTTATTGAAATTCAAGTCCCTGTTCAGCCACTCCTGGCATCACCTTATCTGTTGTCTTTTCTCGAAAGCAAGTATTTTTATCTAGACTTTCATTTGATACGTCATGTGAGGCAGTATCTGCTTTTATTTCAACCAAGATTTCAGCCAATGTTTTTATATCGATGTTTAGTTTCGCAACTCCGCGAGAAATTGCTTCACTTAAGATAAATGTGCCGTTGGAAAACTTTACAACAAAATGTGATCCTAAATTCTGTCCACCTCATGTAGATGTGCATGAATTCAAACCTAAGAATCGTAACAAATCGACTTCTGTTTCATTAAAATTACCTTCGGTGAAATCATCATCGAACATTACACAAAAAAAAAACTAAATACTATAAATCCTTTTTCTCAGCTGTTCCTGATTTATCAAAATGTACGCGGCTTAAAATCTAAACTTAAAAAGCTATTCTCGTATAGTTTTAGAGCCTAATATGATATTATCGCTTTCACTGAAACATGGTTAAGTAAGTAAGCATTCATAACAGTGAGATCCTTTCACGTAATTTCACTATTTATAGACTTGACCGTTCGATGCGTAACACCCGTTCGGGTGTTAATTGCTGTTAAATCCACTATCCTCTCTGAACTGTTTAGCTTTTCGTCCCTTCATGATGCGGAGATCATAGGGGTTAAATTAACTCTCCAATCATGCTCATAATTTATTACATGTTCTTATATCCCTCCCTCTCCTGATGTGCAAGTTTATGCTCAACATACAACTTGTATTAATGAAATAAATGAGCATGTAAATGATAGAGGCTTGCTTCTTGTGTTGGGTGATTTTAATATTCCAAACACTTCTTGGTCATCAACTTGTAATGCAAATTACTTTATTCCGACAATTAATCACTATCTTTTTGATGAATTGTTTAACCTGTCTATGTTTAAGTTGAACTCTATTTCTAACCATCTAAATCGCACACTAGATTTCGTGCTCATTAATCATGATTCGCTCTTTAATGTCGTGGGATCAACTCCTTTCTGCTTTTCAGAGGATATACATCACCCACCTTAGACGTTTTATTAACTGCTGAAAATCCTCTCATTTATACTCCTTTGCCTTCTAAACCATGTCGCTGTTATCGTAAATGCAATTTTGTTTTGCTTAACGAATTAATTAATACACAGACTGGTCTCTTTTATATGAGTCGGTTGATATTCATTTGGCAGCATCGTTTTTTCATACTACCTTAAACTCTCTTCTGGATGTTTGAAGTCAGCTGAAATTCGCCCAGCTTAGACTCGGGATAAACCGAAGGCTCGTTACAACCTGTGTGCCCTACGGATTATCCTTTGCATAGTACGTTTCATGTTCTTTGTGTTATTTTTAATAAATATTATCACGTTTTTTCCTTAGAGCTCTCTCTTCCTAAAATAAAATCTTTGCTATTAGCTTACCTTAGGGAAATCATTCGCAGTGCCCAGGCATAAGCACTGGTAGACATTACGTTGCAAATGTTGTGTAGTGATTTCTCAATCCCATCCTATATTCTATTTTGGCTCTTCTTTTACTCTTAAAAGATATTTCTTATTCTCTGTTCTTTTCACTTTTCTTGCAATAACTTGTAATACTTTCCTTTTTCTTTACACAATTTTTTGTATCTTAAGAATTATTAGATTAACTATATTTAAGCTCTCATAATATTTATTTATGTTTTCTTTTTAACACTTTCCTTTCATAGTTTCAATAGTATCACTGAAT